CCGATGCAGGGCTTAATCCCAGGACCCCGGGATTGTGACCCAAGCTGAAGGCAGATGCTTAACCGACTGAGCCACCCAGGCATCCCTAGAATTTGTGAATATGCAGTAAAGACAAAAGGAACTTTGCAGGTGTAATTAAGGTTATGAGCCTGAAAATAGGGAGGGCAATTTTTCTACATTATCCAGGTAGGCTCAATCTAGTCATAGGGGCTCTTCACAGCAGAGAACTTTCTTTGGAGGGGGAGTCGGAAAGATGCCAAGCGCGAGGATTCCGCACTGCTGCTGGAGATGGGAAGGCTCTGGCTGAGGAGGGCAGCCTCCAGCAGGAGCCCGCAGGAAAGCAGGGACTTTGGTCCCCTAGCTGCAATGAGCTTCCAGGAAGGGGACTCCCCCCACCCCCCAGCCTGCAGCCAGGAATGCAGCCCCGCGTGTCAGGCCCCCTCCCACCTCCCTCTGACTTTTCTGCAGGGGACCAGAAGGTGCCACTTGGGCATAAGGATTATTTTGAGCCCGAGGCACATGAGAATCGACAGATGCAGGAAGATGCCTCCTTGGAGCTTCCCTTATCTGCCTAAAAGCAGAAACTTCGGAAACACGGGGACTGCCGTGGTCCCCTCCCGGGGGACGTTTTACAACCATGAAGGAGACAGAAAGTCAGCTCCCAGATGCACCTGCACAAACGGACCTTCCTCCAGGAGCTTCCCCTAGACATTCACCGTTCCACAATCTGTGGCCCTTGAAAGCCCAAATCCCTGTTCCTTTGTCTTGCCACTGCTCCAGGGATGTGCTAATCTCTGGTTAAAGTGCTGTGGGAGCCCAAGGCCCACCCGCTCCTCGGAGTTGCTCATCTGCGGGGCCTGCCACGCGCACATCACGCACACGCGAATACACTTCTGTTTGGTTTCCTCCTGGCGGTCTGACTTCCGTCTACTTTTACAGCATCCCAGCCAGAGAGCCTAGGAGAGCAGAAGGAAAAAGAACTTCCTTCCCTACACTTACTACACTGACGCCAGAGAGGGGGCCGCTGGGCCGTGCTTGGGCCTCTCAGACCCTCCCCTCCAACGCCTGAGGGACACCAGGGGTGAGCAGGACAGAGGTCCGCACGGTGCACGCATTCGGTGGGGCAGGACCGGGCATGGGGAGCGCGCTGGGCGCTGCGTGACAGTGACCCGGGGCGTGCACGAGGGCCCGCAGGAGGCACTCCAGGGAGTGAGGCTGCTGGAGCCCCCATAATGGGAGGCCCCAGGCCGCCGCCCCTCAGCCCCACTCATGAGCTGAGCACGCGTGGGCCGCTCTGTGCCTCAGCCGCTTTCTCCGGAGGGGGCGCTGCTGCCTCCCTGCCTGCAGGGGCCTCCCCCACCCCCCGAGGGCCTCCTGTGCCCCGGGGACCCCGCGAGGGAAGTGCATGCATTTCCAGTGGTTCCTGGGGGCACCAGACAACGTGGTGGGTTCGCTGCTCTCCTCCACCTTTGAAAAACAAAGTGATGAGATCATCATCACCTGTCCTAGCCTGGGGCACACGCTCTCTGGGCTCCTTCCTGGCAGAGGCAGCCCCTGGGGAAAGGCCTGGAGCAGAGCCAGAGCCTGGCCACCCCAGCTGTGAGGGGCGCAGGGTCTGAGACCCGTGGTCCTTGGGCCACGCTGAGGAGTAGGGGACTCCGAGCCAAAAAGGAGCCAGGAGGGTCTCGGCTGGGAAGACAGGAGCCATGTGAGGTTCCAAGGCCTCTCTGCAAGGGCCTGGGTGGCTGGGGCCCGGCTGGAGGAAGGGCCCGCGCCTCAGAGGCCTCCAGGCCAGCTGGGGGCTGTGGGGCTGGGGACGCTCCGGAAGGAGGCTCTGCAGACCCACTGGCTGTTTGCACGGAGCAGCTGGGAGCAGCGACAGGAGGCCTGAGCAGCCGGTGGGTGCTGGCGGAGGCTGGCGGAGGCTGCCTGCATTCAAAGGGTTCCAGGGAGGGGTGTCCGGGGGTTCCACAAGAACATCCAGAGCCAAACTGGAACGCCTGGCAGTACTGGCCTAAACTCAGGCAGAGCCCCGGGCGCTGAGCAAACCCACGGCTTCCCTAAGCATAGCCCTGGGCCGTGTGCACCTGCTGGGGGCACAGCCCCGAGGGACACCAGCACCCCCACCTGTGGTGTGTGGTACAGACGAGGGTGCAGCTAACCAGGCCGCAGGAGAGTCAGAGGGTGCCAGGGAGGAACTGGGGTGTAGGACACTGAGGTCATGTCTGGTGCAGGCGGTGGGGCGGAATCAGGGCTTCAGGGCACAGCTGGGATACTCACCTGGGCCACCCCAGAAAACCCAGGCTGGGGGGGCATGTGTTCAGGTTCAGGCAAGGGACCAGCACAGAGGGAGGGAGGGAGATTGGGCGCCGGAAGCCTGTTTGCAAAACCAGCCTGTGTGGCTAGAGTGCCCTCGTGTCTGCTCTGTGCCATCCCTGTTCTCCATCCGTCTGTCCATCCATCCGTCTACGCCAGGCTGCTCTTATTTTAGGTGAGACGAATGGGCTGGGCAAGTAGAATGATAGGAACCACAGAGGACAAAGGACCGAGAATGGAAGGAAGGGAGAAAGCGCGTGTGCCTTCGTACATGGATCACACGACAGGCCAACACGGGCAGCTGAGCCGGCGACCACAGAGCAGAAGTGCGGCTGGGAGAGGGGGGCCAGTGGCCCAACGTCCACGTCCCAAGCGCTGGAGCAGCTGGGGTGGGTCCTCATCTGATGCTGGGAGGTCACAGTCACCCCAGGTCCCACACCCGATGCCAAGGTGCCCGCGTCTTCATGTTGCCCCAATGCCACGGCCCACCATGTGTCCTGGGCCTTGGGAGCTGCATGTGGGCAGGGAAAGGGCTGGGAGCACACCAGAATGGGGGGTGGTGGCAGAAATGGCCTAAAACAGTACCACCAGGAGTTAACGTGGGCAGCCTGTCTTCTGTCATCCTGCACATCATCCTCTGGGGGTGGGGGGCAGTTGGCAGAACAAAATTCCTCTGTTCAAAATATGTGCCAGGCTCTGTTCCAGGCACCGGGGGAACCAGTGACCCGGATGGAGCAGCAACCTGCCCTCAGGACGCTTATGTTCTAAGGGAGCTAGGAAGACAAGGCCAGTGCGCTGGAACTGCACAGGACGGAGCGAAGTCTGGGAAAGGGCAGAAATAGCGCAGGCCGGGGATCCGAAGTGCCCCGGTGTGGGCTGCAGTTTTTAAAATGGGAGCTCAGGGTCATGGAGAAGGTGACTTTAGGGCAAAGACTGCCCTGGGGGAAGGAGACCGGAGGATAAGGCCCTGGGGCAGGAGAAAGGGGCACAGTGGGTTAGTACGGGGTGCGCAGGGGGTCCTGGGAAGCGGGGGACAGGCGCAAGGACCTCGGCTTGTGCTCTGGGACAGGCTGCGGTGCGTCAGACTCTGGGTGCGCCTTGGGGGTGGTGCCGCCGGACTCTTGGGGGGCGGGGGTCACATCTGACGGCCGGGTTTTCAGGCTGAGCACCTAGAAGGTCAAGAAGGGCACGGTGGGCAGGGCAGGGGTGCAGGGCTCACTTGTGTGAGCCAGTGGGGGTGGGGGGGAGGCCTCGAGCTCAGGCTGCCTCCTCTTCTTCCTGGGGGCCTGGGTCTCCACTCTGCCGGGGTCCCGGGCGAAGCCCTCTCTCGAGTTCTGTTCACCTCTGTGTACCTACTTCCCAACCGCTCTTCAAGGTGATCGAAAAATTCTCCATTTCCAAGGAGAATTTGTTCTGCTAAGGGCTGTGAAAACAAGTCCCGCCCCCTGGCTTTCTCAGTTTCTCAGAAATATCCTCTGGTCCTCACTGGCCGTGCTCCCAAGAACTACAGCACAATAAACACCTTTTTCAAAGCAGCCCCCGCCTCACCCTTCAGCCCAGTCTGGGCCGGTTTCCACCAGACGTGCCGAGCGAGGTAACACCGTTTCCTTCAATCCATAGATCCAAAACATGTTTTGTTAAAACAATTATTAACTAATATCCTTACTATATATGAAGCATTCACACAGATACTGAAAGCAAACAAACACCAAGGCCCAAGGACAAATGGGCCAGGAACACAAAGCCAAATCACACGCATGTGCGCACATGCACCTCACTTGCACACCCACCTCACTTGCACACCCACATATGCTGGCGGGGGGGTGAGCCCCACAGCCAAAGGCACTGAGATGCCTCCTCTGAATACCCTTGACAGTCGGGCCATCAAACCAGGTAAGGAAAGCCTGGAAAGGGTGTGCGAGCCAGGCTGGGGTTGGGGGGCCCCCCAGGCCCTTCCTTGTGAGGACGTTCAGGGATGGGGGGGGAACAGCTCGGCCACTTGGGCAGGGCACTCACCCCCCCTCTGTAAAACGGGAGCGTCACCTACTGGGAGGGTTCCCTGGCGATGGAATGAGCCGGGGCCCCAGCCTGGAGCAGGGCTAACCCAGCGTGGGGATTTCTTACAGACACTGTTAGTAGGGACTGAACTGTGTCCCCTTAAAATTCGTACGTCCAAGCCCTAATTCCCAACGTGACTGTATCTGGAGATGCGCCTTTAAGGAGGTCATTAGGGTAAAATGAGGTGGGGCCCAGATCCCAGAGGACTGGTGCCCTTACAAGGAGAGGAAAGGCTGCGTGAGGACAAAGAGGACATGGCCTTCCACAAGCCAGGGGGCGGGTCCTCTCCAGAAACCATCCCTGGGGCACCTTGATCTTGGGACTTCCTGCCTCCAGCAGCGCCCCGCGGCATCTCACCAGAGCAGCACGTGGGTGTGCGAGACGTGGGCCACTGTGCACGCCCTCACTTCAACAAGGACACCCTGCCTGCCACCGCCCTGGGGACAACACCTCAGTCAGTGACAGCTGCAGAGCAGGCCCCAACGTCCATTAAAAACAGATCCATCCGTAGTTACATCCCGATTCAAACGTGCACCCACATTACACCAGAGCCCTGATTTACCAGATTCATCACAAAAGTTTTTGTAAAAAAACAAAACAAAGCAAAACAAAAAACAGGCGACACAGTCTGCTGCAAGGGTTTATTATTATGTTTAGTCTACAAATTTGATCTTTTAAGAAAAATGCACAAAATATTCAGTTGAAACCACATTTCTGGTTCATCAAATTTCAAATATATTTTACTGTGCTGAACAATATATTCTAATGCTGTCTAAAACACAGCCAAATTATTTGTCTTTATTCATTTATACACACTCTGTAATTTTTTGAAAACCAAGATTAAGATGCAAAATATCAACAAAACTACCCAGTTACAACTACTCTTCTCCCATACACTGAAATCTTTTCCGTGGGTCTATCTTCTTCCCTTCTTCATTTTAAATTCTGTACGCTCTGTTTGTAAACAGGGAGTTCTCACCAATTCAAACACCTTGTGGAAAGATTAATTCCCTTGGCAATGCAGAAGCTTAGGTTTGTTAAAAGTACTCACTGAAAAATTTTTAATTTATAGATTATATAAAATAAGCATTTACAAAGGGACAGACGACTTTCAACATTATTTTGAAATCCCCGTTAATATGTGGAAATATAAATGAAGCAATCTGTCAAATTAGACATTTTTGGTCTTTTGTTTTTATTCTTTACTCCCTTTTGAATGAAATGTGTGCTGTGGATTTTGTTTCTCCAGGTCCCTGTAGCATTGGCTGCTCGTGGAGCCCTTAGCCCCTAGGTCACACAGCACGGGGACCCCCCCCCTCCCCGCAAAGGAAGGCTGTCAATCCTCAGAGGGGGGAGAAGCTCTGGTCTCCAGGCCCCCAGCTGCTGGAACTAGATTCCACGAAAATCAAGCAAGGATATGCACGACTCTGCCTAAAGGGGGGGGGGGGGCGGCGTGTGCAGGAAGGAATACACAACAGAAATTACAATAAAGCTTCTACTACATCAAAAATGAGAATTTCTCCAAAGAAATGCTAAAAATCAGTAATGCATATATACCATGTGACAAAGTAGCAAAACAAATCTGCTGGTCTCGGCTGCAGTCTGTGATGTGGTCACTGGTTCGCGGAGGGAGGAACTTCTTCCGGAAGCAGGTATCAGCCTGTGGGTATTAGGAGCCGTAGCGATCCTGCCGAGGGGGAACCGAGACGAGAGCTTACTCGCACTCGGCGTCGGTTCCTCCTCCTCGTGCGCACGGAATGCTGGCCGTTAGCACACTGACCTCGCAGCGAGCACACACCACCGCCTGGCTGGCTGACACGCTGCCCCCCGCCGCCCCCCCACCCCGCCACAGTAACTGGAAGGGGCGGCGACCACGGCTTCCTGGGCTTCCTGAGCTGACACTGAGGGCTGCGTGCACCTCGGACGCAAGAGCATCCTGCCACCCAGGCCTCTGCGGTGCGTCTGCAGCTCCGGGGGTCAGGGGAAGGGGGGCAAACTATCAGAGTGAGAGCCAGTGGTGGGCTCCTGGGAGGCAGGTGTCATGGGAAGGTGGGGCACACGTGTGGAGTCTGAACCCTGAAATTCTGGCTCTGCTGAGCGATCTCGTGAGGAAGCAACTTGGCCTCTGCAGCCAGAAAATGAAGATATAAAGGCGGGGAGGGACCTATAAAATGGGGATCACCTTCCACAAGCTATGGATGTCACCTGCTCGGAAGGACTGATGAGGGCTCAGCTGAGCTCTGGCACACCAAAGCTCCTTTGAATTCTAACCAAAGGTTACAGCGGCAGTGAGAAGAGCAGGAGCCTCGGGCTGAGGGGACGCTCCACCGTGGGGGCATCCCCACCGCCTCCCCAACCTGGGAAGCCCCTCCAGAGGCACCAGAGCCAACATCCGTTAGGTGTCGCTGCCCGTGGCCATGTTTTTACATTAATAATAGCATCCTGGGGCGCCTGGGTGGCTCAGTCGGTTGAGCGCCTGCCTTCGTTCGGCTCAGGGCATGATCCTGGGGTCCTGGGATCGAGCCCCGCATCGGGCTCCCTACTTGGCGGGAAGCCTGCTTCTCCCTCTGCCCCTCCCCTCTGCTTGTGTGCTCTCTCTTTCTGTCAAATAAATAAATAAAATCTTAAAACAAACAGACAAACAAGGAAATGCTCGTAACAAAATACCATGGAGAATGTCAAATCACATATACAATATAATCCTGTTTGAATTTTAAAAAGATATGCATAGGAATCTAGAACTAAAAATATACCAAAAATTAACAGAAGTTTTCCTCATGACAGACGATAATGGGTCATTTTTATTTCCTTCTTACTATTTCTCTGTCCCAGTATAGGAGAGAAGTAGATCAGGATCACGACAACCCCTCTAACATCCCCCTAGAGTCATCAACTAGAAGATGTAAGCAAAAGTAAAATTACAATTTCTGGCGTTCATGACGTCCTGGGTTACACTGTAGTAGACATTATCATTCAATACCATGAAATCGAATTTGTCAGCAGCTGAAGAGTGGTCCAAATCTCATTTTCAAAGCTTTGAGCCACCACCCCGCTCCACTCCCGTCATCCCCAATATCACTGACCTGAATGGAAGTCATGACTCCATTAGCAAAGACGGAGAGCTTTCCAGCAACGGATCTCACTCCCTGCTTAAACTGGGCCATGTCGGGCGCTGTGGGCAGCACGCTTGTGAGGCTGTAGCTTCCTGCACACAGAGCAGAGCCCCCCTGTCACTCCTCAGCTCCGACAGACAGCACAGCCAGGGCCCAGGGCCCTCGATGACCTCAGGGGACGTGGGGTGCCCTCCCCTCCCACTGCCCACAAGCAGCAGCTGTGGTTAAGGGAAAAGAACCTTGCAGCGGGGCCAGGACTCAGTTTCAGGGCCAGCCCCACCATGAACCAGCTGCAAGTCCCCACATGAGAGAAGATGCGGTATCAGGTGTTGGGACCAGCAGGGGTTCAAAGACTGGCACTGCCACTTTCAAGCTGTGTGTCTTTGGAGAGCTTCCTCACCCTCTCTGGGCTCCTGGCTCCCCCCCAAGTGCTGAACACAAGATCTGACAGGTAAGTACCCGGTAAATGGCAGATGGGCAGACATCTCTGCTTCTCATGTGCTCAGCATCCCTCCCCCCCTCTTTTGGTACAAGCCCTTCTCCCTTCCTCTGGGGAGCCCCCTGGACTCCAGCCAGAGGGGCGGGCACGGGACCCAGGCCTGGCCGATCAGAGCCTTTCTGGGGCTCGTGTATCTTCAAGGGAGAGGAGCCGACGGCTTGCCCCAGGCTTACTGCCCGGGCTAAGGCGCCGCTGCGGCCGGCCGGCCCCTCACCGCCGTGCAGGGCGGGCAGAGGAAGCCTGCTGCAGTACGAGAGAAAGGTAGGTTCCCCAAGGAGGTGAGCCGGATGCTAGGTGTCTCTCTGAGGCTGTTTTCAGACTCTGAGCTGGAGCCTGGCTCCCTGGGTAGAGCCAGACCCCCCACCTTCCTTCCTAAGCCGGCCTTGGTTGGGTTTCCTTGCTTCCGCGCTGGCTGTCCGACCCCAACAGTAGCCTATTTCCACCAACACGGGTGAAGAGCGTCAGTGTTATCACATAAGCGGTGATAACCCCAGAGCTGACAACCAGGCTCTCGTGGTTGGGGGGGCTTGGGGACCGTGAGTGGGCCCAAACCCTGCAGGTCCTCTGGGGAGCCAAGCCCAGCTCCCCCCACAACCCATGTGCACCCACCTGCCCCTTCAGCAACAGAAGCCAGTTCCCTTCCCAAGAACACACAGAATGGTCATGTTTATCCTTCCGCACAGCATTTGCCCAGAAGGGACACTGTTTATCCACAGCACTGTTCCCATGTCCACCATGCAGGGAGGGGGCCTGAGGTGCGGGTTCTTCCCCTCCCTGCCTCCAGCTGAGGTTTTAAAGGTTTGTGGGCCTTTGCCAATAACAGAGCGGAAGCCCGGCCCAGCCGAGCTGGGTTCAAATCCCAGCACAGCCACGCCCCAGGCGGTGCTACCAGCCTAAAAGATGGGTCTTTACAGCCAACAAGGAGTCAGTGTGAGATCCTGAGCGCGCAGAGCCCGGGTCCCCGCGGCGCCATCACCTGGCCAGGCCCACAGGGGCTGGGTGGGTCCGTACCAGAGGTCGGCAGGGGGGACAGCAGAAGCACCTCCACCTACGAGTTTCTAACTGGAGAAATGTGTAAAGAGGCGAGCACTGTGAAGGCAGGACAGCTGTGGGACCGTGATCCCGCACTGACTACGTTCAGTCCGCAGGTGCCCTGACATGTCAGCCAGTTTCTCAGCGTCCTTCCCCTCCTCCCCTTCCTCTGTACAGAACTCCCCAGTTCTAACCCTTGCAACAAGGTGTGTCCAGGTGACAGAGTTCTGGTCAGTGGGTGTAAGCTGAAGCGCCCTACAGGGCTGGGGCCTGCCCTTTTCCCTCCCCCTTCCTCCTTCCTGTTGGCTGGGATGCAGGTGTGATGCCTAGGGCTCGAGCAGCCGTAACTGGCGTGAGGTGAAGTACAAAGTGGAGGTCATGAGGTGTAAGGAGGAAAAGGGCCTGGCTCCTTGGCATCTGGGAACACAGTGCATGTCCCAAACTGCCCCCCAGAATCACACGTGAGACAGAAACAAACTCGGGTCTGATTTAGCCTCTGTTAACGTGCATCTTCCTTACTTAATCCTCACTAACGATCTAAGCTCCCAGGAGTGTAAGCAGCCTGCTAACTCCCAGAGCGGGGGTCATGTCCCCCGCAAGGAGGCGCCTTCCCACCCTCCGCCCGCAGGTCTGCGGCCCTGTGCTCGACGGGCTCCAGACTGCTGAGAACGGACTGATGGTCTCCTGTGGCTGTGAGGTCTCCTTGTTCCGCGGGTGTCTGGCTGCCGCGTCCCCTCGGAGGGCTGCCCAGGACAACAGGGCCTGGGTGCGCTTGGCCGCACAATGGGCTCCAGGAAACGACAACTCAAGCTGCTTCCTCAGGAAGAGGCTCCAACCCAGGGTCTAGGTCAGGTACCCCATTTCCCTGCTATCTGTTCCCGTAACACCCCCAGGGGGCTTCTTGCTAAGGATGTCAACACAGACCTGCTTTTCCAGAGCTCACTGCCTCCTGGGAAGGCAGACAATCAGCCGAAACCAGAGGAAGAGAGTTTGGCCAGTTAGAGGCAGTCCCGGCATGCGGGGCTGTGGCCGAGCCTAAGCTGGTGGAAGTGGTGGGGACGCGTCTGAGTGTCCCGAGGAGGCTTATGGACCAACTGGCTTGGGGGCGCAGGGGGTTGCTGGGAAAGAGAGAAATGAAGGATGACTCCCAGGTTTCTGGCTCGAGCAGCTGGGGAGATGGCAAGCCAGAGGCAGAGGCCCTGCAGGGTCCAGGCCGGGGCAGAGGGCCAGCTGAGCTGGGCCGGGTTAAGTGATCAGCGTGGTCGCCCCACATCGGTCAGGAAGGCCAGGGGACACGGAGTGAACACCTCCTCCCCGCGCCCACTGTGGGTCGGCAGGCAGACGCAGGCCCACGGGGCTGTCCCTGAACGCAAGCTTCCAGAGCCCCCCCACAGAGTACGCGCCGCACACCGGCTCTCACGGCCCGGCGGGGAGAGCGCCGCATCGCTGCTGTCCCTGACGCTGGCCACGCAACGTCACACTTGGCGCACAGCATGTCCCTGGCTGTGCTGGAGGGCCGCTAGCACAGTGGGGGCCCTGGTTCCTGCGCCCCGCGGCCCGAGGGACCCACCGACCACCCCCCCACCCAAGAGCTCCCTCCCTGCCGACCACTCACTCCACAGACACCAAGGGCTTTCTCTGTGCCAGGTGTGCCGAGATGGGAACGGACAGGTCCTGTCCCGGGGGGGCGACGGTCCTCGGAGGGCCTGGCGAGAGCACAGGGCGGTGGGGGCCGAAGCGGGAAAGGAGCACAGGAGCCAAGCACCGACCAGCAGGGGCTGGGTGGCCGAGCTGCACTCCAACCAAGGACAGGACTGGAAACCCGGGCGACCAGGGCTGAGAACTCAGCCGGAGGCAGGAGAAGGGGGGGGGGTTGGCGCAAGGCAGTTCCCGGGCTCCTCAAACAATGAAGTTTGAGTAAAATATCATGTACCCATTTCCCTGAAACAGAGACGAATGGAGAGGAAAAGGAGGTCCCCGATGACGCAAGTGCCGAGTTTCGGAAGGACCAGAAGCACCGCAGGGGCGCCTCTCAGGACCAGCACAGCAGGCCCGCACTGACGTCAAGGACACTCCGGTCGGCGAGGCCACCGCACAGGTGCGACGCGGGACAAACACGGCTGCCCGCGGACCGGACAGAACCGCCAGTGCTCGGAGATCTGCAGGCCCCGAAGAGGCCGCGTGCCCAGGCTCCGGGCCTGAGTGAGGAGGCAAGCGGAGGGTGGCCGAGGAGCCCCGAGGGGACAGAAGCAAACACGCGGGAACCCGAAGGGTGCACGGAGCCAACGAGAGCATGGCGCCGAGGGGAGAGGGGTCTGCAGCGTCCCTGGCTCTTGCAGGTGGACAGGCTCAGAGGCAAGTCATCAGCACCATTTGCTTGAAAGAAATACCCCAAGGGGGCAGGCGAGGTTTGGAGCTGCCTCCGCTCTGTCGTTCCGCGCCCCGAGTGGTGCCTCGCAAGCTGGTGCTGTTGATGGCAGTCCCACGTCCCCCCGCTGACCCTGCTCTGACCACGGGGACCGACGCTGTGCCAGGCTGGAGGTGGGTGCTCGCCCGTTTCTCATCTGGCGCTTTCAATACCCTGGAAGGGAAGCGCCCTCAATAAATGTCGGCGCTCCTGGGTTAACCACATCCCCAGGAAGCATTTGACTTCACCAGGAGGCCTTTCAAATCTGGAACTATCCACCCCCCCCCACAAAGAAATTATAAAGATGTACTGTGATCTACTCAACAACACTGATTTTTCACAGATGGGAAAGCACCTAACATAAGGAACACAAGAGTCTCTTAAACCAGCTTTCGCTGTTTGCTGAAATGCACTCTAAACAAAAAGTAAATATTTAATAAGAGTTGTTCAATGCACTTGCATTTAGGGCAGTTACTGAAAGCAACTTTTATGTATTTTTTTTTTTTTAAGATTTTATTTATTTATTTGACAGAGAGAGACACAGCAAGAGAAGGAACACAAGCAGGGGGAGTGGGAGAGGGAGAAGCAGGCTTCCCGCTGAGCAGGGAGCCCGATGGGACACTCCATCCCGGGAACCTGGGATTATGATCTGAGCTGAAGGCAGACGCTTAACGACTGAGCCACCCAGGCGCCCCTGAAAGCAACTTTTATGATGGGCTTGATGGAAGAGGCAGAGTGAGGGTGACCAGCGTCTGAGCCATGGGCTTGGACAGAGGAGAGAGGGCGGGAGGCCGGGGGGAGGGGGCACCCTTACAGGACATGCCAGGGGGCACCCTCACCGTGACCGTGAGTTCCCATGGACGGAGTTTGTCTGGGACCCACACGAGGCCCAAACAGTTAAAGGACCTTTGTTCTCTGAAAGGGGACAGGAAAGTAAACACAGGCTGGCCAAAATTTCCTCCAACAATTGGAAAGGCTGCTTTCATTTGATCTCCACATATTTTTTTTGTTTTTTTGTTTTTTTGTTTTTAACAATGGTTCAGAGTGAAACTTCCAACAACTTGAATTACAAACACACACACAGCTGGGCGGGGGGCGATTTCCAACAGTCGGGTTCTCTGGGCTGACCTGACCCCTGCCAAGGCTGTGAGGCGACCCAGCACTGGCCCATGGCACTGGAGACAGGGCTGCAGAGACCGCCGCCCGAAGGGCGCAGGGCCAACACCCCTCTGCCGGGGCAAGCCCAAGGGGAAGTTGCCCTAGCAAGAGGCCAGGGCGCTTAGAGCCTTGAGGTGAGAACACAAGTCCAGGAGCCACCCCTGCCCCACCCGGACTCAGTGCAGAAAACAGCTCAGAGAGTGGCCTGACCAAGAGCCCCAGCCCCACTGTGTGAGGCCGGGGCACAGCACCGAGCACCCCTACCTGTCTCTGGGGTCAGTGGGCCCCCCGGGCTGGGACGCTCCCTCCCACAGCAGCCAGCAGCCTGGCTGCTCACTACACCCCAAGGGCCACGGTGGAACTTCTAGCATCCCCACATCCCATCACTGAAGGTTCCAGGCACTCGGGTCTGCCCTATGACCGTCTCTCTTGAGGCTGCTTCTTGCTGGACACAGGAAACAGCTGTTCTTGGTGGCTGTCCATGCTGGTCAGCTATGCCCACGCCCAGCTCCTCCAGGGCCGGCAACGAGGGCATGCAGGTGGTCCTGGGCCTGGAACACTTGGCTCTGGAGATCCCCTCCCCTTGGGCTCCCCTGCTCAGTGAGTTCCTGAAATGACCTCAGAGGACACTGCTCCTTGAATGTTAGCTATGACATAGGAGGGACACATAGCCTTCCCTTAGCCCTGTGGCCTGGCGGAGGCCTGGGTGGGATCCAACACGGCTCAGGGACCCAGAGGTACAAGCAGAGAGTGGCACGGCTCTGGATGTCCAGGATGGGCCCGGGCTCTGAGGTGCACTCCCTGGGGCTCCCAGACTCTCTACAATGGGGTCTGGACGCGAAGAGGGATGGGGGAGACAGGAATTCCTCTCCACCTGCCTGTCCCCAAGGCCACATTCTGCCTTCCCTGGAAGACGGAGCCTGCTGGATTCTCCTGTTCTATCTGCTTCTGCCTCCCCTGGGGCCTACGCCAGACGCCCAGGCGACACTTTACACAGCACCTCACTGAAGCCTCAGTGCAACCTTGTGAGGGGCATACTATCCACCCACTTCGGAGAAGAGAAGCTGAGGCTAAAAGTGCCATGAAATGCTCAAGGTCTCAGGCACGGAGTACGCAGTGACGCTAGGAGCCCAGGGCTGCCCCCTGCAAGGCTGCGATATCACACAAATCAGATACCACGTTCCCACTGGACTAGGAGACACTGTTTCGGGAAGATGACTTGCCGGGCAACCTAGGTCCCAGGACGCTGGTGAAATGTCATGACCTGGTTTCCTGACATGCAAAGCCTGGAATAATAATAATTTCTGCTCTGACTCATGGAGGAGGAGGAGCATCACATAACGGTTGCTGATAATCTTGGAAAAGTACAAAGTTCTGTGCAGAGAAAATGCATTCGTGCTGCAGACACAGAGGACAGCAAGCTTGTGAGCCGCCCCGCCCCCGCCCCCAGTACCTGCTGTCTGCTTCCTCTGCTCATCAAACAGATCGGCTGAGCTAATGGAGGAACTTGCCGAGAGCCTCTCCAGCCGAGCCCTGGTTTCATACTAGAGAAGACAAGGAAGAGGAAACATTAGGCTCCAAATACTGTGAGCAATTGTGCAAAAAGCATCAGCCTGGAGCTGACACGTGACCGCTGCTGAGCCCAAGGGAAGGCAGAGAGAATGAGCCGTCAGTCCGTGCTGCGGGCCTCCAAGGCTTTGCGCCAGCCCGCCAGCGCTCCAACAGCAGGACAAAACCTTAGGCCCCCTCATTGCCGTAAGACCCTTCTGCTTAGCAAGACTCCACTAAGAGGCAACAACCTGAAGATAAATATGCCTGCCCTCCAAAAACATGTCTACTTCATTTAATTTCATCAATAATAATTTCAAAATTAAGTCAATTACATCTGTATTGAAAATTGCCTGAAGTTTATTCCAAAGATATGAAATGGATGTCTGTTCAAAATACTGAGAAAGGAATTAGAGAAACATGAGACCTGGTCCCTACCTTCCAGCTGCTCATCCAGCTGGGGCCGCGAGGGGGAGCGGGCAGGGAGACCTGAGTTCGAGTCCTGACGCCACACCCCGGGGCAGCGGCCTCTCGCAGCCTGAGTCCGTCTCGCTCTGTGCCTATCACGTCCTCCCGCGGCCCTCATGTCCCCGCTCGCTTCCTGCTCTACGGGGCCCACACGCAAACTCTCTGGACACTTACATCAGCTTGGGCTTGTCTTCCAAAGTACATATCTGATGAAATGGCTTTGACATTCCCAAACTTCTTCTGGGCCTCATCTGTATTTTCAACTGGCTCATAGTCTGCCTTACGGCGAGCAGTAGATCTACAATTAAAAACAGCCCAAACAGGAGTGACATCAGCAAGACGGTGGAATAGAAGTTTCCTACCACCATCCCCCTATAGAGCACCGATTCTGACAATCGTCTACAGGCAAGAATGACTTTACGGGAGCGTAGACGTGTAGCAGAGAGGTTCCAGCACACTGTCGGAGCAAACAATCCAAGACCGGACACACTGAAGAGGGTAAGAGGAACAGTTTCACTCTGCCTGGGCCACCTCTCCCCCGCACATCCCCCCACCCCCCATTGCCGGCTCCCTGCAGAGGCCCCCACAGATGGCAGTACAAGCTTTCTGGGCATGTGCAGAAAGTCAGCCCGACTCTGTCGGACTGGGACAAAGTATACAAACTTGAGCATTTCAGGGTACCAAGGGAAAGCAAACAGGAGGCTCAAGCACCTGGCCTGGCCTTGTAGGATTGAGAAAAGGTATACCATCTTAAGAATTCACCCCCCAAAAGGAGTAAGTAGTGTGGAGTGGGCACACATAGGAAAGGTCTGAGGAAGCTTCAGAATCCCTAGCAGGTCTGCTGCTGAAGGCATTTCTCACCTCAGGCTAGTCAGTAGAGACAGAAGGAGGTGACTGCTTCTTCAAGTGCAAAGACAGCAACCCAAGACCCCAAGGAGCATGAAAAATCAAGGAAACATGACGCCACTAAGGGAACGCAATAGTTCTCTAAGAACTGACCCCAAGGAATTGCCCAACACATTTCAAAATAATTATTTTAAGGAAGCTCAGCAACCTACGAGTACACACACGACTCAACGAAATCAGGGAAACAATAGACAGACAAAACTAGCAGTTCAACATGGAGATAGAAATCATAAAAAAGAATTAAACAGAAACTCTGGAGCTGAGGACTACAACAGAGGACATCAGCGGCAGACCTAATCAAGCAGAAGAAAGAATCTGTGAACTTGAAGACAAGTCATTTAAAATTATCCAGTCAGAAGAGAAAAAGAAACAAAGAATGAAAAAGGGAAGAAAGCCTAGGCGAATTATGGGACACCGTAAGAAAAAAATTTATGCATTATGGGAAAAGAGATAATACAATACGGGAGAATCAACTCCATCAAGAAAAGAGAGGGAGAAAGGGGCAAAAAGCTTATTTAAAGAAATAATGACTAAATACTTTCCAAATCTGTAGATGTGGACATTCAGGTACATGAAGCTCTAAAGTCCCCAAAGAGATTCAACCCAAAGAGATCTTCACCAAGACACATTATAATACAACTGTCAAAAATCAAAGACAAAAAGAGAGAAAGATCATATGATTCCACTCATAAATGGAATCTAAAAACAAAAAGAATAAACAAACAAAAAGCAGAATCAGAACTAAAACTATGAAAAAAAAAAGAACCAGAACTACAGAGAACAAACGACGGTTACCAGACAGAAGCGGTAAGAGGGGGTGAGCAAAATGGGTGAAGGGGAGAGGGAGATGCAGGCCTCCAGTTTTGAAATGAGTAAGTCATGGGAATGCAAAGCAGAGCATAAGGAAAAAAACAAAGAATTTTGAAAGTTGCAAGAGAAAAGAAACTGTTCACATAAAATGGAATCCCTGCAAGGCCATCAGCAGATTTCTCCGCAGAAACCTAGCAGGCCAGGAGACAGGGGGATGATATATCCAAAGTGCTGAAACAAAAACAAACAAAAACAGAATCCCTGCCAACCACCAGACTGGTGCCACAGAAATGCTAAAAGGAATTGTGCAAGCTGAACTGATGAATGGTAATTAACATAAAAACATGAACGTAGGGGCGCCTCAGTGGCACAGTGGGTTGAGTGTCTGACTCATGATTTCAGTTCAGGTCATGATCTTGGGGTCATGGGGTCAAGCCCCAAGTCAGGCTCCACACTCAGCAGGGTGTCTGCTGGAGATTCTCTCCCTCTGCTCCTCCCCGCCTCTAAATAAATAAATTAAATTAAAAATAAATAAAAACTGTAACAAGAGACAAAGGTTATTATATAACAAAAGAGGTCAATTCATCAGGAGGATATAACAATTGTAAATACACATGCATCCAACATTGGAGCACCTGAATATATGAAGCAAATATTAACAGATCTGAAGGGAGAAAGAATGAGACCGTACCGAAACCACAATAGAAGACTTCAGTCCCCCATTTTCAATAATGGACAGTTCACCCAGACAGAAAATCAAGAAAAACTGGACTTGAACAATACCTTAGACCAAAAGGACAAACAGACACATCAGGACATTCCATCCAATAGCAGCAGAACACACATTCTCAAGCACACACAGAACATTCTCCAGGACAAATCATATGTTAGGTCACAAAACACATTTAAATCATACCTTAGATCCTAACAAGTTAAGAAGACTGAAATCATATTAAGTGTCTTTTGCAACCATAATGGCTGAAAGTAGAAATCAACAACCAGAGGAAGAAACTGGAAAATTCACAAATTCACAAGACACTCCTGAACAACCAATAGATCAAAGAAGAAATCAAAAGGGCAATAAGAAAATATCTTGAAACAAATGACAATGGAAACACAACATACCAAAACTGATGAACTACAGCAAAAGCAGTTCTAAGAAGGAAGTTTATGGTCAAGGAGTATCTGAAAAGATGTTCCACATCACTCATCATCAGGGAATGCAAATCAAAACCACAATGAGACACCCCCTCACACTTGTTCGGATGGCAATTCCCAAAAAAGGTGCGTATTGATGGGACCTGGAGAAAAGGGAAGCCCTGTACACTGTTGGTGGGAATGTAAATTAGCACGGCCACAGAGAAAACAGCATGAAGGTCCTTCAGAACATTAAAAACAGAACGACCACTTAATCCAGCAATCCCACTTCTGGGTATGTGTGTGAAGCAAACAGCATCAGTATCTTGAGATCTCTGCACTCCCATGTTCACTGCAGCATTATTCGCAGTAGCCAGGATACAGAAACAATCTAAGTGTCTATTGATGGATGAATGGATAAAGAAAATATATATACGATGGGACATTACTCAGCCATAAAAAAAAGAAAGGAAATCCTGCCGTTTGTGACAACATGGATGAACTTGGAGGACACTATGCTAAGTGAAATAAACCAGACAGAGAAAGAAAAATACTGTACAACTTCATTTATATGTGGAATCTAGAATTTAAAAAAAAAGTTGGGGCACCTGGGTGGCTCAGTTGGTTAAATGTCTGCCTTCGGCTCAGGTCATGATCTTGGGGTTCTGGGATTGAATCTTGCATTGGGCTCCCTACTCAGTGGGGAGTCTGCTTCTCCCTCTGCCCTCCGCCCCCCAGGCTTGTGCTCTCTCTCTCAAATAAATAAAGTCTTCAAAAAAAAAAAAAAAAAGTCAAACTCACAGAAACAGAGAGTAGAATAGTGTTTCCCATGGGCTTGGAGGTAGGGGAAATGGGCAGATATTCAAAGGGCACAAACTTCCATTTACAAGATGAGTAAGTTCTGGGGATGGAAAGTACAGTACGGTGACTATAGTAAATAATACTGCGTTGTATACTTGAAATTTGCTACAAGTATGGATCTTAAGTGTTCTGAGCACACAAAATGAAAACAAACGAAAAATCCAGGCCGAACAGGTTAAACTAATTTGAGGTGAGGCAAATGCATTTCTCATTTATAATGTATACCAATGCCATTTTACTTTTTAAAAAGCTGACAGTGGTAATTTTGTAAAAGGATTTCAGGCCACATTAAAAAGCCTGAAAATTCTAATAAAAACATGAATAAATATCCAAACCACCCAACATTTGAAGGAATTTTCCTATTTAAATAGACCAGTCATTTCACTCTTCAGTGCCACAGATCCATTAGTAAATACGGAGTACACTGTAATGCACGTAAGACGCCGCTTCACATCATGTAGGATACAGAATGAGAATACTCCTGTCACCTAGCGCAGTCCAAGGCTGCATCTCTTGTCCCAACGTATTCGTCATGTCTCCCTGTGCTCCCAACAGCTCCCTGGTTTGGACAGGAGATTATAAAGTCTTTCATTCATAATCACCAACAACTGGAGATAGTCCTTCGACAGGTGAATGGGCAAACGACTCAACAATAAAGAGGAAGGAACACAATGTCATGATGAGAGTCTCAAATGCACTATGAAAAGTCAAAAAAGCCAGTCTAAAAGGAATCTGGGAAAGGTAAGATTGCAAGGTCAGAAAACAGACCAGGATGCAAAGAATATTCTTGAAGTAGTTGAATAAAATCATTTACTAGTCTTAAGAGAATTTCCCTAGAGATGCATGGCCTCACTATTTACAATCCCACCGCTTTGTGTTCATACCTGTCTGAATAGCCTGTGGTTTTCAGGATGGCATCAGTGTCTTTGATGGTCTCTTTTTTCCAGTAGGAATCTGAACTGTCATCCCAGCTGGAAAAAGAACTGCTCCTGAACTCCATCGGCTCGTCCAAGTACCTGTATGAAAAAGAGTGACGGTGACTTGGGAGACCTTACTGATGTCCTCCACACTGTACTCCCTGGCCCTTGACGGTGGGAGCAGCCATGTGACTACAGCTGACCAATGAGACAGGAGCAGGCGTGAAGAGGGTCATTTCCAAGGCCTCCAAAGGGCCCGTGCTCAACTGGCCCAATCCCCCCTTCCCACGCCACATGGAAGACAAGGTGGTGTTTTCCAGGTGCTGTAGCCTCGGGCAGGAGAAGACTCCATCCACCAGGAAAATCAAGGTGCCACCCAAAGACCAGGTAATCTGGACAATCACCTGTAGCCTCAGCTGAACAAGTACACCACCACTGTGTCAAGCCTTCAAGATGGGGGCATAGTTGTCATTGCAGCATAACCTAGCCCATCTGGTAGCACATGATTATCTTTGAGTGTCTTTACTTACGTATTTTGCTTTCTTTGCGTCTAGTTCTGCCTAATTAGGTAGTCACAACAAAAACCCCATCCAAAACACCATCACCTTGTTGGCACTCCCTGCCATGTTAGCCCCAGCATAAGCCATCAACCCTAATAATAACTCCCAATTCCCACTTCATGTAAATGATGCTAATTAGCCTCCTCCTTGAGTCAGATGCACAGCTGTGGATGGCTGATCACTGGACCCCTCTGCAGATGATCTTGCAGCCTGGAGCTTGGAGTGAACTTGATCTGTAAGCATCTCTGAGGAGATGCTGGCCTTCTAGATCAGTTTACCCTTTCATTAGCCAAGCATCACTGAGCAGGGCCTTGCTCAGAGAGCAAAACTCAGTGGCAGCTTTTGGTCCTGCATGGTGACAGAGCAATCTTTGACCATGAGCAGCAGGGTTTGTCTGGAACACGACAGAGACTGGTGGGTGAGGTGGATGTGCCATGGCTTCTCAGAATTCACAACACTAGGATGGAAAACAGCCCTGCCAGATATGCACCCCTTTTAAAGGTGGGGTTCAAGACGTTCAGAAGGGGCAGATTCCAAGGCTTGGTCCTGAGAAAGGAAGGATGATGCAAGAGGATGTAGAGGCTTTCAAAAAAAGTCACCCAGGCTTTCTGCAGAATAAGAAAAGCAGCACATGGGATACGTGGTGAGCATCAAGCTCCCATGTCGTAAGAAGTACTACAAAGATGGAAAGCTCGGGCAGTCAGAGGGGCCTGTAATCAAAGACAAATACAAGGGGCCAGCAGGAACCTTTGAGAACAAAGAGGCCAAGGGCCCAGATGAACTAAGATTTGGGGGGTGGAAATGTTAATAATGAACATACTCGTTTTCCTGGTTTTAAAAAAAAAAAAAAAAGGCGAGAAGGGATAAACTTGCTATTTGAAGCAGATGGTGTGACTTTACACAGATAATAGAAAGAAAGCAGAATTTCCAAACGTGGCTTCTGCCTTCTCTGGCAAGGTTGTCATTAAGAGCAAATCTCATCACACTGGTCCTCTCTCCTCAGGAAGGAAGACGCAGGTGCAGAGCGGATCTGTGTGTCAGTGAGGAATGGGCCAGGCTCTCTCCATGGCTGATGGGGGGGTGAGCCCGGAGCCCTGGGCTCTCCCCTCTTGAGAGGAGACTTGGACAAGGAGACTTGAAGTGGTTCAGAGAAAGAGGGCTTCCAAAATGTGGAAGGCCCATTGGCCTGGAAAGTTACCCTTAATTATTTGAGAGACTTATTTGTAAGGGCCCAAGCAAAAGAATTAAGACCAAGTCAATGAGAAATTTAAAAAAACACTTAGTAAGCATCTATGAGGAGCTGGTACTCTGCTAGATGAGGACACAGGGCAAGGAGACATACTCAGTCCTCGCCCTCATGGGGTGGCTGACGGGAGCTCAGAAACCCAGTGAGGTGTGTAAATGGAGGTATCATTCCTCATGGAGCTGCCCCTGGACCGGACGGCCATCTCGAGGAGGAGAGGGAGTGGAGTGTGGGTGGGGGGCCGCACCATCCCCTGGAGGATGCTGGGGGCAGGGCGGGAAGCACTGGACAGGAGGTGGTTGGAACTCCCAGACTCCTCACAACTCTGAGCTGTTGGGATTTAGGATTTTGTAGATTTAGTTGTCACTCCAAGGAAATAGTCTTCATCCGTGTAAGCCAAAATGCTTATTGTGGAATATAAGGGCATCGGAGGTTTTTGGTTTTTTTTAAAGATTTTATTTATTTATTTGACAGATAGAGAGATAGCGAGAGAGAGAACACAAACAGGGGGAGTGGGAGAGGAAGCAGGCTTCCCGCAGAGCAGGGAGCCTGATGCGGGGCTCAATCCCAGGACCCTGGGATCATGACCTGAGCCGAAGGCAGACGCTTAATGACTGCGCCACCCAGGCGCCCCAGGGCATCAGAGTTTTCAATGACTGGACTATTGAAAATTCAGAAGGAGAGAGCCATTCTGCTAGGATCCTACTGATCAGCAGGAGCACCATGCAGCGCTCTGTGTGCTGGGGAGGCTGGGCGGGGCTCTCCATGTTCTGACAGATGCAGGAGGCAGGCAGCACTCCTCAGGGGGCATAGCCAGCTGCCCCATCAGGCCTCAGGCCCATTGGAGGATGGGCTGACTGACGACTAAGGGCTGTGGGACACTTGCCTGGCCTCAGAAACACAACAGCCGTCCCCGACATCCATATCCTTCCTTCCTCCCTCCCTCCCTTCCTCCCTCACTTAAAGATTTTATTTATTTGACAGAGAGAGACACAGTGAGAGAGGGAACACAAGCAGGGGGAGCGGGAGAGGGAGAAGCAGGCTTCCCGTGGAGCAGGGAGCCCGATGAGGGGCTCGATCCCAGGACTCTGGGATCATGACCTGAGCCGAAGGCAGATGCTTTAACGACTGAGCCACCCAGGCGCCCCTTTACTGACTTTCTAATGCTCTCATTTCTAGATCCTGGTTCTCAATGCTTGTCACTTGTATTTTTGCTCTCGCACTCTGTCTGCATCCAACTCTGAAGGTGTTCCTTACAACCCCTTGATGAAAGTACCCTGACAGCATGTATGAATGTGATTTATAGCTGCAGACAAATGTCTATCCCAGGGAAGGCCATGCTGGCTGCATGAGACTGAGCAAATTGTTCTAGTGTCATTATGCTGTACTCTGTATATAATTACACTGTTTATATCCTGAATATAATGGAACTCAATTTAAAAAAGCCCGAAGATATGGTGGATCTTATTTTTAATAGAAACAGCACTCTTTCATAATTCATGATGTTCAAGTTCTAATGGGCTAATGAATAATTTGGAAGCAGTGCAAGCTCTTCATGGAGCTAATACGCTGGCTCTCCCAGAGGCTGTGTCTCCTTTCCCTCAGTTGCCAGAGAACTAACAGTGTCCTTGTTCTACTAGCCGTGGTTACAACCCGAGCAGGGCTGGAACAGGCCCTCGTGCTCCTGGTACACAACCTGCAGGAGATGAGGACACGCCACGGTCTCTCTGGCGGGAGCCCACTAAGTGTGTGTGTTCTGTATAAAAACACCTGCTCCTACGTTTCAAACCATAAGTAATTGTTTCATATCAAGAAAGGCCTTAGGACTAACTCTTCTGACTAAGCTTCTGGAGAAAGAGAAACCTGAGGCTCCTGACAAAGGCAAGTAAAGCCCCCAGGGAGCCGATCAGGGACCTGGAGCCAGTGATGTTCTCCAGAAGTTTCTCAGGGCCCATCCCATGGATAACTTCACTTGAATCTGTATCTTTGCAACTTGGCTGCCAAACAGCAGTGCTAATTTAACTTGAAATTTCTTTACTTTTCTATGCTTTCATGTGCAGGAGGTGCTAATGAGCAGTGAAATTATAAAAAAAAGTGTGGAGAAGCCACATGGGCAAGGGTGGAACCCGCGTCACCTAGAGTCTCCTCTGACCAAGACCCACTTGCTCATTTAAGAGTGAATCTGATGGGGCGCCTGGGTGGCTCAGTCGTTAAGCGTCTGCCTTCGGCTCAGGTCATGATCCCAGCGTCCTGGGTTCAAGCCCCGCATCGGGCTCCCTGCTCCGCGGGAAGCCTGCTTCTCCCTCTCCCACTCCCCCTGCTTGTGTTCCCTCTCTCGCTGTATCTCTATCAAAAAAAAAAAAAAAAAAAAAGAGTGAATCTGAAATGATCTGATGTGCATGCAGCTCTCAAATCAAGTAAGAAATTTCATTTTATCCCATAGAAAATGTATTTAAATACGTTTAAAAGGCATGCTTTGGGAGTGACCTCTAAGGAAACCGAAACCTGGCGTGTTATACAGGTTACTGACAGCAGGCAAAGAGAAACCCCCACCTCTGTTTCTGACAGCACTGACAGAGACCACCACTAAACTACTCACTTTTTTTGGTAAAATATCTGGACTTGAAATAATGGGAAGCTATGCGAGAAGAATTTTTTAAGGATAGTACTAACCTATGAGCTTTGAAGAATGTATCTCACGGGGTGCCTGGGTGGCTCAGTTGTTAAGCATCTGCCTTCGGCTCAGGTCATGATCCCAGGGTCCTGGGATCGAGCCCCACATCGGGCTCCCTGCTC